GAAAAAGATTTGACGAAATAATTCAGAGAGGATGTTACCAAACCATACACAAAATGCAGATAGGCAGTTTGCAGGCATTCCCGTGTTCACACGGTCAGTCAAGCGCTTTTGGTTTATTCTTAGCATTCTCCAACGGCGGTTTTCGGAAGTGAATGACAAAAGGGAAAAGAAGTTTGTATGATTTCCCTCGCACATTGATAAGCGTGAGAATGAGAGGGGAGAGTAAGATTAGCTAGAGTAAACACAGATTTTGCACTTTTTAAACTACCAAATATTGAGGAAGATGAAAGAAACGCACGTGCAAACTTTTTGTCGTTGAATACAATTTTTTATATAGTGCGAAAGAATGGCTACGGTTTTGGCCGCAGTTTCGGGCACCATTTCATTCGCTTCTGCGGCCATTTGTAAAATCCGGTGCAAATTGAATCCAGAATGAGCCATACCCAGACGCCAGGTCAAACAGGGCAAATAGAATAGAAGGGCTTGAGCGGCCATCACAATGGGTGCCCATTGATAATAGACCAAGAGTAGCTCACGTCTATCTGGGACCGGTGGCAATCGATCTTGAACGGGAGCGAAATAGGTATTCGCTACCCAGCAATAATTTTCGGCATACTCTTCCCAACCACGAGTAAACTCTTGTGGAATCCAGCATTGGATTGGTTTTCCTGCGATAATGAAAATGAATATCATAAATTGCCACTAATAAGATTGGGACGATTGCGTAAAATGAAATATGAAGTGATCTACATTTAACTGGGTCAGAACTAAAACTATTAGTGATATAGCATTGCTCATGTGTTTATTCACTGCATTTATGCACTCACGTACAAGTACGGCAAAAGGAACTGCAACACCAACAACAACAATAGCGTTTATCTATCAAATTTAGTGAGGGCCTGACCTGGTCATGGGAGGATTTTATTCCAACGCTGCCGGAGGAATCCATATATTTGTTGGGAATTAATATCTAAAAGTATCTTTAGATTAATTAACAATTTTGGGGATTATTTATTGCTTACTTCAGCCATCTCCATATTGTCTTCTGTTCATGCACATTGAAACATGTGGCATAAAATTGATTTGAGATTGAACTTGTCTTTGATAAATCTGATTCTAATTAAAAACCAACAGATGGAAATATATTTAAATATTCTCTGCTGATAAGTAGCAATTTCTGCGTTGAAAATGTTCGAATATCCTAAGTTCCTTCTGATCACAAAACCAACACAAATAAAACTTCACACCATCATCTCACATTTAAGATACCCGCTACGAGTAAGATTTAGCAACGTTACACTACTTGAAAGGATCCAGGAAACTCTCCATTGCTTAAAACGAGAACGAATGAGCTCGGTAATGGAACAGTCTATTCTATTGTACTGCTAATTTTATAATGCACAAACACGTGATGTTGGAAATTTGCGGGGTGAACATGTTATTAAATCAGCGGAAAACCAGAAGAACAATTCCATGAAGTTAATATGACTTGGCTTATTCATGGCCCATATGAGAAAATACGGGGAACAAAGATACGGCGAAGACGAAGTGATGAAACATTTATGATGACCAGAAATTTAAGGAGCTTGGCATTAATTTTATACTGTAGCGGTAGATTTATTCTAACTGAATGATCACTTCAAATCATCAGAGAAATCCTATAACCGACGTATTTATCATTTGCATAGTATTGTGGTTCAATCTCCAGATATTTCTGTGCGAAGTCTACGTTTTTCGGTGAGCCAGGTCCATTTTGCAGCTTCTCCTCAATTCAACATGAGTGCAAACTTGTTCAAAACTCTTTTGACTGAGTCCGCAAGTAAATTGCTTCATTTTGCATTGGAAGCAAAGTGGCTCAATTTGAGAAATTCTATAGAACTAGTGGCTCCTTGACGAAGTCCATTCGCAGCCGCGGCAAAGTGGTATTCTACAAGGCATTGATAACGTCGATCTGGAACAAAAATGGTAATCAAATTTAAAACGTAATAGGAAGCAAAGATGAGATAGAAATTCCAGTGTTGCGTTGTGGTTTCAGGTCCGCCTTTGTTCCCTCGTAGGTTTCTAACTCTTTGGTAATATATTACAACCTGAATTCCACAGCCATTGGTGAAATCCTGTGTTCCCATTCCTGACTGATCGCGTATGGGATGTGTGTAGGGCAATTTCTAGAAGCAGAACTGATAATGGATGACCTAACCGAGGACTTTCCAGTAGTTTCGAAAACAAGACAAGTTTACAAGGTGTTACACGACTGCACACTGATAGTAATAACAGAAAGTATACCGTATGAACGTTGTACATCACCAGCCATCCATGGTCAAGCTATACCATAAGGTTCATTGCACATCTCCATTCATCGCATTCCTATAACCGATCGATTTTATGATAAACTTCTTTGTGTAAAGAGCGAATGAAGGAGGGCATGAAACTTTGGAAAACATCGGGCAGCTGTTTCGAAATGTTTGAGTCTCATTCGTAGTGCTAATTCATCGATATAACTGGGGATCGAATCCGGAACTTCACAGGCGGAACGCAAGACGTCTACGCAATCTCAGACTGTTTTTCATTTTCATCATGCAGGATATAGCAAAACATCGTTTCTAGGTTGCTGTAGGCATCACACCTCAATCATTTCAGCACTCGTCTTCAGGGTTATTAGTCGGTTGAAAACATTCGACACTTGATTAGTTGTTGCTTGAGAGCAAAAACCCCTCCATTTTGGTCTTTTTTTCATCAAGACGCCATTTGGAACATGTAACATAAAATGTCGAACTGTAATTCCTTTTGAACGTGTCCAACGTAAGTCCTTCAGTAACGAAGAACATTTTTCACCTCTAACAAGGATTGCTTTCTAATGATCATGGTGAATTGATGGCAATAGTCAAGTAATTTTTATGGCCATCAACCTTACCCGGAGGATGTGCCAAACGTCGCATGTTGCGCCCCATATTGTTGCACTTGGGTAATCAATGCAGACAGCCAGAGCCCAACTTTTCCGTTCACTATTTGTTTTATCTATACATCAGGAAATTCACCATATCATCGGGTCAAATCCCACATTACTGTCATATACGAACAATGTTTTTTCCCGTGGCAGTACTTGCCCCACTGAATCTAAGGTGATATGTTTAACTTTTCACATTTTTCCTTTCATAAAAGACTTCTGTATGCTGAAACTGCGGTGTGGAGTTCCGCCTTCATCATTTCGAAACTGGGGAAGTGTTTTCAAATAAATGCGTTTAAATATGAATTTTCTACTAAAATTTCCTTTTTCCACCTATTCACATAACCTGGTCACCACCGCTAACTGGTTGCATATCCCCATTCACGAAAAATATCAGTGCATTGATTTTATATTCATGCATCTGAAACGTCTATTCGGCAAACTAATCGACAGTGATCTGTTATTTAACTAGAATCCATTTTTTGCTGTCAAGTCAGTTTGCGGTGAATAGTTATTTTTGCTCAAAGCCTTTTTAATTGATGTTGGCAGCTCTAAAGCAAGATGACCGCAGAAACCCGGGCCGTCACGGTGATGAGCAAAAGTGTGGGGATCAGCATCAGAAATCACGTGCCTGTCGGTTCTGATTTCAAGGTCCGTCCATTTGTGCATGTACTCACAAACACACCATAACCGGCTCGTTTCGTATGACCCCAAACGCGCTGAATAATAATGCGTCCAAACACTCCTTATTTCGAGGTCACCCTGGCGAACCAGGAGCTCAACGGTGCCTTCGCCCCAGGGCACAAAGTCGATGGCCTTGATTTGCCCTCCCGCGGCTGTGTGTGTGGTCTCAAGCACACTAACACCGTTAGCAGTTTGTTTGAACTGCAGAGACCAGACTACAAGTCAGAACTCCAACCGGAAATTAACTGTCTAAGCGCAGCTGCATAGGGATTAAGCTGTTTAAGAACGTGCAGGCACATCCGATCGGGAGAGATCGCGGACAAACGCGTAGGTTGGGGCAGGGAAGGGTCCTTTACCGTAAATTGTGATTATGCATTGAGGGCAAGATTTTCTGATTTCTGGCCTTGTCCTCAAAGAGCAATGGAAGAATGGAAAGAGTCCTGTTGTTTTCGTCTTAGGTACTGCACAAACGATAGACTCTATCCTCGAAAATATAATTAAGTAGGTAATGATGACATATGTATAAATTGAAATATGTTTCAATCAGAAATAGGTTATCAGGGATTTATTCTAGCTTACCACACGGAATTTCCTAGCTATAAGCAACCCTCATCCTATCACATGACCGGCGACCTTTTGAATCTTTCATTGTAGGAAGTTATTTTATCAAACTATTCGAGTGAAGTTATTTTTTTCCTAGGTAGAAATACTTTGGTAAAGTGAAACCTAAAAATACTACCTAAAACTTGTAGAACCTGTAATTTTTCATCCTTCGTTTGTCTTCCGGTTATTGGAAATAAACTCGAATAAGGCAACTCCCAAGCAAGGTACACTAAGTTACCTTCCCACTGCTTGCAGCCATGTGATACTTTCAGTTTTGGAAAGCGTTTTGATGTGCCCAGCGGTACCCCTGTGTGCCTAACATGTTTCCTTTCGATTCACGTACACATTAAGTCTACTCATGCCTAATGCTGTTGATCGGACATTATGGCATCCTGCTCTATCTGTCTAGCACAAGAATATAGACCATCAAGTGACGTTTCTAAGTAACGTAACCACTTTTATTCACCTCACCGGATATTGCTAATTCAAATTTGTTTCAGTGCAAATTTCGATCTTCAGTTTTGAATATTCCACTCCTACAGGACTCAGTTTCCTTTCGATATTCTTCTTCTGCAAGTATTAATTCTGATGTTTTGTGTGCTGCTCTTCCGTCGCTAAATTTTTAGCTCTGCACAAGCATAATCTTGCAATTGCTCGAAACTTAAAAGTCTTCTAATATAATTATGATGTAGTGATTGTTCACTCATCCCCTGGTCCATGCACTTCTCTTCAGACGCTGTATCTAATAGTTCTTTTCCCGGCTGTCGTCAGCTCAATGTCAAGTATGTTAATGTTCTCTCCAAGGTCCCAACCAGCTCACATCATTCATGCACCCACAATCGACTCATGTTAGCAGAGATTCGTTTATGTATCGATATCACCATTATTTCTGCATACATAAAATTACACTAAACAGTACAATAAAGTGAAGTAATGTTAGGTTTTCCATATGAAGGCTGTGTACAGTGCAGTTCATTTTATTTTGACCTAACAGTTGACTTATCTATAGAAGTACTTCATAAAACAAGAAATCCATAGCCCCGAAGTAGCACCGGTAATATGTTGACTCTGTTTCAGTCTATAAGTCTATGATGGCATCCTACTCCTAGTTCTTCCTGCATTCAGTCCCTTTTTTATTTACGATTTGTGAAGTGTTATCCAAGTTGAGGCTTGTTTGGAAAGTTACCACATTTCAGTATTTCAGTAGCTCATTCCTGGCACGGGTTTAAGAACTAGCAAATGGCAAAACTTCAGGTTGGTTTCGGATATTCCTCTGAGGATTAGTGACTACAAGTCACACACAAACATGTACATGATTCATCATCCCCACAATCCGATCCCAAACGCTTTCCCTGTATCTCCGCAGAACCGCCAATCAAGTCTCTTTCTATTAGCGGTATGTTGTATAAATTATTTACTAATGAACTTTATATACTGCTCACGAAAATATTAATATAAATAACACCTGTTCAAATAATGTCAAAATGTCAGTCAATTCGATTCAACTTGTCTGCACAACCCCTGTTGCTCCGCTCCGGTTCGTATGCTATCAGTGAAATTGGATCAGCTTTTCACAAACGTTTTGTATAATGCAAATAAAAACCGGTCTAAGGAGCTGTCTGGTGGTCGATTGGACAGAATGCATGCGTTCTGCTTGTGAAGTTCCAGATTCGAACTCCAGTTGTGTCGATGAATTCGCGCTGCGAATGAAACTCAACCAAGTCAAAAAGCTGTACAAAGCTTCATTTCCTTTCAGTTCGCGTTTGGTTTAGTCAATAAGTGTCTTTTTATATTCATTTTATCTATTGAATATTCAAGTGTACAGTCAACATTCAATAAGGGGGTCGCGGCCATACAAAGGATGCCTGGAAAATACAGAATTAGGGAAGATGGGACGCGGTTAAGCGGTTTGAACCCGGGGCTCCTAGGTCACAATTTGGTGACCTAACCACTTGGCCACCACTATAAACTACGAAACCAGCCATGGATACTAAGATCGCTAATGAGTGTAATCAAGTTTTGGGATAGCATCCGGATAGAAGGGGAAGTGCTCGTCACCGAAAGTCGGCCTTGTTGCATCCATGGGTTGTCCTGTTTGGGGCGTATGCATTATGACTTAGATGTCTACTGTACTCAGTTTAAGAATTGTATATACGCCACCGTTTTCAACCATGTAACAATCGCCGTTTTAGAACGCTCTATTGCCTTTCAGGCTAATCGTCACATTCTCAAAACCAGTATATCATTCAACAGTTTCCATGCTAAATTAAGTGAATGAAGGACTTCGTTTAAACTTGCTTCTCATCAAGTTTAAGCTATTGACTTTGAATTATGTTGAGGATTATATCTGGTTATTTTGTTCTGTTTTGATGTGAGCTGATTGACACAGTGACGGTGTGTGGAAACCCAACAGGAAATCGAGCTATTATTCTGGTTGCAAACCAGCGGAGTCACCGGGATGCGTACGGTGCCAAAGCCTTTCCATAGATTCGGTGCCGTAGTGAATCAGGATAATCAGAGTCCAAAGTTTTGCTGACGCTTATCATACCCCATAGGAATTTTACAGAATTTTTCGGAAGACTTTAAAAATAGGATAATTATGATTATAAGCGTAGTCACTTACGAATATTGAAATGTGAAATGTTTCGATGTTTTATCAAGCCGTGATTTGCATCATTCGACTGCAGGAGCGCTCAAACATGGAACGGAGGATAATTGTATACACCACACACTATAACCACAGACGAGTGATGTTGGCAAGCTAGGTGACCGTTCTGGGTTCTCAACTGCAATGGATTCCGATGGAGACGTGGGTGCAGAGCTCTATATGAAACTCGCTTTCTATATTTTATGTGCATATTTTCACATATTTGCTTATAATTCCACTAGCATGTATTATATGAATCCATAGCTCAATAACATCTGAATAAACCGCTGCCAACTAATACCACGGGAAGCAGAAGTGGATAGTTAGGGGCGTTTTCCATGCGATCCTTCTGTTTGAAGTGCATATTACTCTTTCTACATTCGTTTTAATTCATTTTTGGTTGCATCTATTTGCTAATACGTAACCATTTACAATTCTGATCCACGGTTTATCGTTTTTCGATTAAGTAACTGTTTCTATGTTAGCATCCCTTTTTTCCTTCCTATTTCACTCATCTCCAAATGACTTTGATTCTTTTCGCCTGAACCGATGTAATTACGTAAATGTCCAAATATGATATTCTTCTTATAACATTCCGAACTATTTATTGTGCGTGGATAACTGATTGAGAACACGCAGAATTGATGACCAATATCCATTCTGCTCATATTGTTTCTTGTTTTATTCAAATATTCCTCCAACTTATTCAATAAATAGTGTTGATTTCCAAAGGACACAAAAGGTGACGATTTTGTCAATTTGTAAACGCGCCATCCTCTCTCTCGCTTACAAAGAAGCATCCACAGGTTCACTTCCTACTTTATTGTTTATATTGTATGCCCCCACTTAATTCTCCCACTATTACACTTGCAATGATTTGCTTGCTGATCGGGGTCTGAATATGGGGCTGTGGTTGCTATGTTCCCCTTCATTGCAGGCATTGCTTTGATTAACGTGTGGCTACCTGACCCTCAATATATTTGCCGCCTTCCCCTTTCGAGTTATCGATCGCCCGGTGATTGCTCACAAGCTACGGCCTTGTTGTCGCCTGTTCATCCATCAGTGAACTTACGATGATCTTCGTAGTCGTATCCTTGACACCACCTCGTCGTTCTACCACTCATCAGGAGGTCCGACTGTTTACGGTAGCGGTAGTTTTGCGGTGCCGGATTTCGACTAGTATGCACCATTCCAATTTCTTTATCGGCTTGTCTATTAGCCAGAATCCACGACTGCTGTTACATCATTGGAGTGTTATTACGCATACCTCTTTATGTCTTGGCATTCACACTATTTATTTCNTTCTTTTCACTGAAACATCCATCCAATTAGCCTCCTCAACATGTTTTAGGTCGTCGTTTTTTCCTTCTGTTCGTGAATATTTATCCAACTCACTTCTGGGTTACATATTGCTGATGTTAATCCATTATTTGACTACCACTGGCTGCCCTAACACGCTCCAGCGCGTGCCGTATCGTCCGAATTCAATTGCTTTTTCTGATCGCTGGTCACCACCTTGAAATGCGCGCTTACTTGTTTCATTCGTTCAGTGGTTTCGTGGTTGCTTCTGATCCATCAGTATGTTGCGGTTATGGCCTGTTACTCTGATTGTCCGTTGGCTCCTCTTTTAACCCTTTGTTGTCCGTGATTACCTGATTGAAGCGTGGTAGTTTGATTATTATTTTTATTATTTCTTTGTTACAATTCCTTTGGTCAGAACGGCAATCGTGCACCGAATTCACCATGTTGTTCACCTCGACCGTGAGCATACCTCAACTGTGTGTGACTCGATTTCACTACAACTTCCTCTAAAATCGGCGGAAGACAACGGATGCCAGCAGCTTTGATGCTATCTGAATAAGGTTGATACCCATATGACTGGCGCAGTCATTGTGCAGACCCCATTTTATAGGTGGGGACGACACTTGATTCCTCTTAAGACGAGGACCCTGCTCAGTGTGTCAAACTTTAAAGAACAAAAGTTACAGCCTCATACGAAGCTTCATTCCACCATCTTTACGGTTGGGGAAGGTCATCTGAGTCTGGCGCTTTAAGACATCCCGAAATATGGATCTCCTTACGGATGTCCGCTTAAGAAGGTGAGTCTGTTGTGATAAACCATGAGAAGTGTGCCAGAATTGCTCTGGGAGGATTTTGCGCCGGTGGTCAGCGGAAATTCGACGAAGACAGGAATATGAATGGAACGAGTAAGCGTTCAGTTTAATGCAATATGTTTGATCGGTGGCAGCGAACTTGTTATCAAATTGTGTCGCGGAGGTCCCGGGTTCGAACCGCACCACCGCCAACCATATTTACAATTTCTGTTTTCCCAGGCAGCTTTTGTATGGCTTCGACTCCCTTCCTGAAAATTGAATGTACATTTGTATATTCAATAAACGAAATTGGAAGTAAAATATATTTTGATTTGAAATTTTTTTCATTTCGTCACTGGGTATTGCTCAGCCACAATCACGGTTTCGATGAGTACCTAATGCCTAATTATACCATGTTGGACAAAACAGATGTATTGAACTTCAATACTGAAACCTTGACTTACCAACATATTGTCTGACCCCGATCAGGCCGATAAACAAGAACAGAAGCACACCGGTGTACTGATAATTAAGGCGATCGGCAAAATCGTCATCGAATTGCAACCGCCTCGAACCGATTCGTCCGAGTTTGGACAGATTCCAGATAAAAGCGGCATCCATTCGTGGAACGTAGAGCCACTGCTCTCGAACAATCCGGATTTTAAGCCCGTCCCGTGTCTTTATTTGAGAGCTGAACAAGTGATCGGGGTGAAATAGACTGGTAAAATTGAGCATATTTTGTAGTTGCTCCATATTATTTTGATTCCGAAAACATGAACCAAAGAACGAAATTTATAAAATGTTAGTGCCTTCGTTCGGTGGATGACATAGTAGGAGCAGTTTGGAGTATTTTAGCCCAATCAAACTGATGTATGAACATGGATACTTGGCATGTTAAGCCTCTGATATTATAAATGTTGTATGTGTTTCAATTTTCCTCAGACTGAGATCAAAAGGACTGGTCACAGGTTTTGGAGTATGTGATCCAAACGGAGCACTAGTCGACTTCCTGCTGGTTGTTCTCAACTGAATCGCCAGTTGCGACGCATTCCACAGGTACAGTTTACATTATGAATTACCTGTTGGTTTGACTTTTGTTCCTCCGTTTTACATAATAACCAACTAATTACTATTGGTAAATAGTGATCCTGTCACCAACAAATAAAATACATCTCAGCTTTGTCTGATTGGTCTTCTCAATAATGCAAAATCAGCTGGTATGGTGCATAATTTCAAGCCTTTCGCCACTTGGTAAGCACCCCAGATATTGAAATTCTTCCCGACTTATTTCTAAGTTTTGATAACATGCTCTCTGATTATTATAAATTCATCTTCGCACCGAACATATATATATAATTTATGCCCTGTACAGCTACTGATCAGCGTGTTGAGCAGGATCAAACGCTGTTTATCTGTTTCGACTACTGACCGAAAACTGCTACACTATTTACTCGATTCTTGGGACAACCTTAAGCGAGATGCCGACAATCAACAAAAGCAATTTTTTGTCCCATACAGCGGTGTTTCTCTTAAATGAGAACAGTTGAACTTTTCACAATATCGTCGTTGTTAAATAAATAGATTCGATAGCTATATATATATTATATATTTATTATTAAAAGTGGAAAACGCATATATCATAAAACAAAGTTTGGTTGATCTCAAATTCTCTATACCGTACACTGATGGTGACGTTTCCAAAACTCAAAATGAAAAGTATTTCTTGTTGGTATTTGCTTTTGTATAGCTTATATTAGTGTTCGGTGCCAAAAGATGCAACAGGATTCCTGTAATTTTGTCATTATTGAAAAATGTTTTTTTTCTAAACGGTTATAAGAAATATATGTATTATATATCGTACGGTAATTAGATTGCAATTCAGTATACTGTCCATGGCTAACCAGAAGTCCTACTGCATCAGTTGCAGTCACCTCTTAGCCAAAACTTGTTCGANGTTCGAGCTGCAGATAAATGGCTTTTAATCATGCTCAGTTTATGGCCGTTTGAGTAATTCAATTATTTTGTGTCTGTATCTATGCATTCTTTAGGGTGATTTGTGACTTCATTTATGAAATGTTATATCTGACTGGGGTGCCCGAACGCCATTATGAAGTGTACAGATGTGGAAGTCAGAAATCATTATGAATAATTACAGCTATGGTTTCAGCAGAAGCCCCAGGCGGATTGCGTAACACATTGGTATAAGACAAATACAAGTGTATCAAACTCACAATACCCCATTGTTTGGACTTAAAAATTTAGAGTATGGCAATTGACAGCAAATGGACCTCCTGGAAGAAAAACTAAAGGTGGAGGCGTCATCACTTATGTGCGCCGGTCGTGGTGTAACTCCACCAAATGCAAATTTACTCGCTGCACACAAAACATTTCTTGTATTTCTGTAGCAACATTTTCTCTTGCGTCCCTATTAAATCACCTTTTCAAAGCTATATATCAATCCTGACTGCATTTCTAGTGAGTTGTCTACCTTCCTGGATGTATTTTATCCAATCATGTTGGATAAATCTATCATATCTGTATTCGTCTTTTCCGGCGATTTCAACAGATCTGATGTGAGTTTTTACACACTTGTCTCTTCAGAACATTGTTAAATTTTCTACTCTAAATGATGCCTCCTTGGACTACTTTTTCGTTAACGAACCATTTTCCCGTGCCTTCAAACGTGAACCAATAGGCAATTCCGATCAGTGTCCGAATAAATTTTTACCTACAACATATGGTAAATGCAAGCAACAAATCCTGATGAATAACGTAAGATACGTAAGATACGTTTACGAACAAAATCATCTGACCAATTTGATGGAGTCAAAATCCATGGTTGGCGGGACGGACTTACAACAAAGCATCGATCCTGATATTTCAGTTACCTTAACTATTGTTAGGATGGGTGCTGCCCTCAGGAAAGGATTCATCTACAGCCCAACTGATTCATCCATGATGGACTGAAATGGTTACGAAGGCTGAAAGAAAGGATGTATCGCTCGAGAGATAAACTTACAGTCAAATCTGTCAACTTTCACATCATAATTGAGATAGCACATTTCAATCAATTGTATGCTGACACCGTGCTAGGAGACAAATCCTGCTTTGGAACGGACTGAAGGTACTCTGTGGTCGTTCAACTTTACCAACTACAGTCTCATGTGATATCAGCGAGCTCAATAAATCATTTGCTTCAGTGAAAATCGTTGTGCATGCTTTACCGAGTCCAAACACAACGTCACTTGATTTCCACCCTCCTGTGTCTGTAACAATGAAGCAAGTTTTAAAAGGGTTAAGTGCTGTCAATGGAAATATATCNTCCTGATAGGTAGTCCTTAAAACATGTGCAAACCACCTCGAACACACCGTTTCATTTATCTTTAATACATGTCTGTCAGAAGGAAGACTAGTTAACACATGACGTTATGTGCGCATCACTCTAGTACCTAAGAAAGAAAGGGGTAAGTGTCCGCTTATTGCCTCATCTTCAGTATTACTTAGGACTTTTGAGCGTATTATTATTAAGCACTTATCCTCTAATCTTGATTTTTGTTATTACAATCAGTTCTCTCATTGTAAGCGTCGTTCTACTATAGCTGTGATAACTTGTCTTGTACATTCTATTTTATCCACCATGGACCAAAAAATTGTTCACGTTCGTTTCTTGGACTACACAAACGACAGAAATATCCTATTGACACTGTTACGGCGAAATACTCTCCCGCCACATCTTTTGACTTGTTTGCATGACTACTTTACCGACCGACACCAATATACTTGTCTCAATGGTATTAGGTCTTCTACTGTTACTGTAAACCGGGTTGTAATTCAGGGTGCCATTTTATTCCATTTTCTGTTATCCTTCTATATCCAAAATTTGTCAATCACCCCAAATGTTTTCACTTTTAAATATGCCGATGACATAGTAGTTGGTGGTGCATCTCACAACAACAATCCCTCAACTAACCCCCTTCAATCAGCCATAAGTTCCAATTCTGACTTGACTTGACTCATATAGTACATATATGCACAGACCGGACGAAGGATAAACGTCGCACATAGCCTTCAATCCAGTTTATCCCCCCTGCAGTTCCTTCGTTCAAGTGATCGTGATCACTTGGCTTGCTTCGCTTGCAGAAAAAATTAACGTTATTTTGATGAAACTGTATACAGAGAAAGTCAACTCAACCCTCCGAAGGCACATACTAAGAAGCCCACAAAACCAAGCTCTGTGATGCCAGTATCACATTTATATTTGTTAAACAACACAAATGAAATTTCTATGATTCGCAGCGAAACAATAAGGATGTTTATTTTGGTGATCGAAATATTATTGAGGAGGGCATACGATAAAGATTGATTCGACGGAGCTTTCGTAGTTCCGTGCTCCGCATTTTGCAAACACGAACTAAACATCAATTACAGGTGAACCTAAATCATGTTCAACCGAATGTATGCAACTCATAAATTATTTATGAATTGAACACAAATCTCCGGGATAACTGAAGCCAAAACAAAACAACTCCAGGCGGAGTTCTTGGGGAAATGCCCGTGTGTTAACTTCCACCGCAAACGAGATCCCAATCAACCAATGGCTCCACCTTGACAAGATTGAACAAACAATTACTTTTGGTTCAGCAAGCTGCATGTGAATGTTGCTATTGAGAACAATCGAGATATTTTACTACACAGATGAATAAGTTCTTTTTTCTGTTCTTATCATGAACAGGTTTGTTTATTCATGTAAATGGGGTTTTCTTCGCGTTCAAACAAACTTTCTGGGGGAAATGTTTCAGAATGCATTTCAATTTAGTCGATTTGATTCTGGTATGAAGGGTTCCCCTAAACACCCTTATGCCTATTGAATATTGCTTCTAATGTGCAATTCAATGGAATTCGTGGAACAAGTATTGAAGAATTTATTTTTGAATGTTAGGTAGTTTTCTCATTATTCAGAGATTAGTTTCTTTTTGGAATATCCAATCACCTTGCGACTCAGTAGAAAATTATCGGCGGAACAAAGTATCCATAGGTCATGCTATAATTTCGTTTTCGTCGCATTTGTTGAGCTTAAGCCTGGGGGTACCCAACTGATAAAAAATATCACTAAATAGAAATTTGCATTTTGAATCTGCATCACAAGTTCATTTGCTTAGTATTATTCCTTTTGGAATTAACATCATTGGTGAAACCAATTGATGCGATCCAAGTCCTATTTCCAGGTATGAGGACCACTGTGTCGTGATAATGAATTTGATTATCTGTGGAATAATTATTGTGCAACGTTAGATTTGATGAATAAGTAAGTAACTGTAGCTATAAACTGAAAACTATACTTAACTAAAACTGTCTGAAATAAATGCTATATCATTGTTCAATAGATATTTTCACATATTTTGAGATTAGAACTAAGTCAACCTTCATTACTATCAAGTCCACGACTCCATCGTTCTCCAGATTTCATCGCTAAACCAGTTTTTTGATCGACCGATTCGCCGTATAAGTTTAGACTACATGTAATTCAAGTCAATTTTAGCTTTATGCTCCCAATAAGGAAGATTTTCAGCGATGTAAATAATAAAATTCAGATTTATTTGCTGATATATAGCGATTTTAAGTAGCAAATCGCGTTATTCTTTCAAATGGATAGATTTTCAGCTCCCTGCACACCGAAGTTATTCATCCTCGAATACAATCACAGAGGAAACGTAAAATACAGCATCACAAATTCGAGAAGATTGTGGCGTCAA